GGTATGAGAGGGGAAGGTCATTAATTGAGCACCCTCGCTCACCCAATCAAAAGATCGGCCTTTACTAAACCATGATATGAATTTTATTTACTTTATATGTTCATATTCCGATTATTTAATAAATCCTAAAACAAATTACTATATGAAGTATACAAGTATAGACTATGTCACTCACTTTGGAACAACTTGATTTCATATAGTTTTGAAAGAATTTTGAAGATGTATAACCCAAATAAATTGATTTTACAAACATGAAAATCAACATCATTCCAAATTAAGCAACATAACCTCCATCCACTGGCATTCATAGAGTTATATCACATAAGCAAGTAGCCTCATGGTAGAATGCTAATCATAGTAAGAAAAACACACACAAACAGGATGCAACATAAAAACTTACATGTTCGACGTCTTGCGAACAAGCTACAAAACAAGGTTAGTAAAACATGCATGATCTTATATACAAAATCCTAATGCAATTCACTCATGAGATGCAACTAAAGATTCGGCTTCTAAGATATGATATGTAAATCATCTCAAGAAATATGAGGTAGCGCATATAATCACATAGGAATTGATTAAATCCACAAATGCAAAATTAGTCGAATCAAGATGTATGAAACATGGATGCAAAGTATGGATATAATAAAAGACAAAATATGATGCATATTCACAAATAAAGAAAGCAAGTAAAAGAACGGGATAGAAAGAAGCGGGGTAGGAAATTATTACAACACTTGAAAGAATAATTACAAATCAAATTAGAGAGGGATGAGGAGAATATTACAACAAAATAAAAACCTCACAATACACTCAAAATAAAATAAACAAAAGAAAAAAAAATTCGTGTGCCTTGGAAACCACTAGAAGTTGGTTAACATCGTAAGACAATGCCGTCTTATCCAAAAGAAGCTAACTGGCCGGCCAAATAGGCCGACTGACCAACTAGGCCTAGCAAAACCTATCTTATTGCAAAACCAAGAAAAGGAACAAACAAGAAATATGTAGGTGGCTCAACTAACCACTACTGGTAAATTAAAAACAAGGAAACAAATATAAAATAAAAATAAAAAAAGGTGCAAACTTACAACAAAACTAACATAAACCTAAAATAAGAAAAAAAAAAAAAAAAGAAGATAAAACATGCAAGATTACAACAAAACTAATATGAGACTAATACAAGAAAAATATAAGCTAGGAGATGTAAGATTACAATATAATTACTATGAAATTGAAACAAGCAAACAAATATAAGATAGAACATGCAAGATTATAACAAAACTAACATGAATCTAAAACATGCGAGGTTACAACAAAACTAATATGAAATTAAAGTAAGCGAATAAAAATAAATAAATAAATAATTATGGGCTAAACAAATCACTTGGATTACAACAACACACTTTGAAATATGAAGTAAGAAAATAAATATGAGATAAACAAACTACTTGGATTATAACAAAACACTATGAGGTAGAACATGCAAGATTACAAAAAAACTACATGAACCTAAAATAAGAAAGGAAATATGAGGTAGAACATGCAAGATTACAACAAAACTAACATTAACCTAAAACAAGAAAGAAAATATGAGATAAAACATGCAAGATTACAACAAAACTAATGTAAAATTGAAGCAAGCGAATAAAAATAATTAAATAATTATAAACTAAACAAACTACTTGGATTACAACAACACACTATGAAATATAAAGTAAGAAAATAAATATGAGATAAACAAACTACTTGGATTATAATAAAACACTATAAAATAAGAAGTAAGAAAATAAATATGAGATAGAAAATATAAATAAAAAAAATAAAAAATGAAAGACTAGAAATTCACCTTTCAAAGACAGGTTGAACTTCTTGATTTCCAAACTTCCTCTTTATCAACCTCAAGTTTTGGAAGTGTGTTCTCAATCCTCAATTTGAAAGCTTGGAGTCCTTGCTAAAATGATGGCTTGGAGGTATATGTGGGGAAAAATTATTATCTCTATTTTTTTGCTCACTTTTACCAACACCCACTCTTCCTTTTGATCAAAGCTAATGAAATTCAAGTATTTTAGAATTTTTTGAGGAGTTTTGGATGTAGAAAAAATGGAATTTCAGTTTGTATGGAATGTATAGGGTGTATATGGAAGATAGGAGTATTTTTAGCTTAAAAACTTAATTTTTCTCTCTTTTTTCACTCTTTTCTCTCTTTTTTCTTCAATTTCGTCGTGTTCTTTCTCTTACAATATGATCATTCTATATAGGCAATGAGGGAGAGTGAAGGTCAAAAAGAAGGTGTGAGACAAGGTGGGAGACAAGAATGTGATCGGACGGGTGAATTTTCAAAGTGGTTGCATGGGACACTTCTTTATGGATGCAAACAAAACCTCTTTTTGACAGTGGGGGATGATTAGGTATGTGTTTGGTGATATATGGGTTGGCAAATGGGGTAGAGGAGTGTCCCACACACAAGAAAAAAATGCAAAAGTACTTTGCCTGCTAGTTTGAAATAGTTAAATATTGTTTGAGGGGAAATATAACACAAGGCAAAGCATTGGCAGAGTGGTTAAGGTGTTGGGTATTGAGTTGTAGGTTAGGGGGTTCAAACCCCTTTCCAAGCATTCCTTAAATTCATTTTTTTGGGTCAAGACAATTCAGCTCCACGTTATCAACAAGAACTAATCCAGTCATGCCACGTCAGTGTCCTAGTCAGCATTGACGAAATATTCTGTATATGGACGGAATATTCCCTAACTTAACAAAATATTCCCTCACATAATAGAATATTCCCTAAGTTTTAAAAATTATAATTTGGCCCAGAAGTTTCAAATAATTGTGCTATAACCCTGATTTCGGGAGAATTTTTCAGTGATGCCCCCAGAATTGCAACGAAGGTTGATCCTAGCTAAATGAACCATTCTGGATGCAATCGTGAGGTCAGAATATGCCTTTGGAAATGTAATTTTGTGGCTGTTTAGGGTTGGAAACAGGGCTAAAATTCTAAGTTTTCTTATTAAGGATTCTGTGAGACACAGCTTCTTGTTTTCATCATTAGGTAATAAAAAAAAAGCGCCCAAATCTTAGGGCTGGTCAAAATTGGTTGTCTACAACAGTGTCGTCAAACACCTCAGGTGTCGACACCTTCGAAGAGGGGTGTCGACCCTAAAAAAGAGTGAACCAAAAACCAACTGGTGTCGATACCAGAGAGGAAGGGTGCCGACCCTTAGCAATGAAAAGCACAGGGCTAGTTCACAGGGCGTCGACCCTATGAAGCAGGGGGTAGACCCTTAGGGGTCCTAATGAGTAAAAACTACTGTAATTCACAGCAAATTTCTCAAAGAAGCATAATAACACATAGGAACCATCACATAGGAATATTTAACATGCCAAGCTCAATTCATATAAAGTAAAATTGTTCCTCATTGAGAGGCTTGGTAAAGATATTGGCCAACTGTTGACTTGTAGGTACAAATTCGAGTTCAATGTTACCTTTAAGTATATGATCTCATAGAAAGTGATGCCTTATTTCAATGTGTTTAGTGCTTGAGTGATGTATGGGATTTTTTTAAAGATTAATGACACTAATGTTATCGCATTTGATAGGTATGTGATCAAAGTGAAATCCAAAATCAAGAAGTTGTTGTTTCATCCAAAGAATTTGAGCACAACAACTAGTAGCAACAATATATTCTGCTTTAGTTATAGATAAAGCCACAAAATTTTGTTTTTACAAAACCAAGATGTGAGTGAATTTCCAAGAAAATGACAAGTGCCACTAGTGCTTTTTCGGTCAAGTCTACATCTCGCAAAGTCGGCATCCGAATAACCATAAAGATCAAAAACATTTGTTTTAGGGTACCAAAGCCCCAAAAGTGGAGTGCCAATGAGATATCTGAAAATGCATTTTACTGTAGTGACGTGTGGTTCTTTTGGAGATGATTGAAAACGAGTACACATACAAACACTAAACATGATATCGGGTCTACTAGCTGTTAGATAGAGTAAGGAACCAATCATACCTCAATGTTTCTTTTCGTTTACCGGTTTACCTTGCTCATCTTTGTCGATTTTAATCGATATGCCAATGGGAGTTGCTGCAGGTTTGGACAAATCTATTTCAAACCTTTTGAGGAGATCTTTGATATATTTGGTTTGAGATAGATAAAGGCCATCTTGAGTTTGTTTTATTTGTAATCCAATAAAGTATGTCAACTCTCCCATCATACTCATTTCAAATTCGCCTTGCATATCCTTAGCAAATTCCTCGTACAAAGATTCATTAGTTGTTCCGAATATGATATCATCAACATAAATTTGAACAATATGCTTATCATCATTTTTGGTTGTTATGAAAATAATGGTATCAATTTTTTCATGAGAAAAACCTTTTTCAATAAGAAAATTGCTCAAGCGTTCATACCAAGCTCTAGGGGCTTGTTTCAAACCATACAAAGCTTTTAAAAGTTTATAAACGTGGTCCAGGTGTTTGTGGTTTTCAAACCGGGAGATTGTTCAATATACACTTCTTCCGAAATATATCCATTTAAAAAAGCACTTTTCACATCCATGTGGTAAAGTTTAAAAGTTTTAAAACAAACAAATGCAAGCAGCATATGAATGGCTTCAAGGCGTGCAACGGTTGGAAATGTTTCATCAAAATCAATGCCCTCTTCTTGGTTACAACCTTGGGCTACAAGTCTAGCTTTGTTTCGAATAACAACACTGGATTCATCCATTTTGTTTCGAAAAACCCATTTTGTTCTAATAACAGAATGATCCTTAGGATGAGGAATCAAAAACCAAACTTCATTTCTTTCAAACTGATTTAACTCTTCTTGCATAGAAAAAATCCAGCTTTCATCGTGTTTGGCCTCAGAAAAAGTTTTTGGCACAATTTGATAAACAAAAGCTAAATTGCCACAAACGTTTTGAATAGAAGAACGAGTTCTTACACCTTGTATGGCATCTCCTATAATGAGATCTTTGGGATGTCCATGAGCATACTTTTATTCTTTGGGTAGATCATGTTCCTTCGTTGGATGGGCATATTCTTTTTGAAGATCTTCCATAGAGACTTCAATATTGGGTTCCGAAGAATGAAGTTCATCATTTTTCGATAAGTAATGCCTTTCATTCTCTGCAACATCATCAATAGCAATATTCTTGGAAGCAAATGAGTTAGATTCATCAAAAGCAACATGTATGGATTCTTCAACGAATAAAGTTTTTTTTATTAAAAGCACAATATGCTTTACTAGAATTTACATAGCCAAGAAATACAGCTTTATCATATTTGCATCAAATTTCCCAAGATTTTCTTTATTATTATTAAGTACAAAACATTTACAACCAAATATGCGAAAATGACCAATGTTGGGTTTTCTACCTTTTCACAATTTATATGGTGTTTTCTTAAGTATGAGTCTAATCATGCCACGATTAATAACATAACAAGTAGCATTGACGGCTTCCGCCCAAAAATATCTCGACAAATCATTTTGAATAGAAGAACGAGTTCTTACACCTTGTGTGGCATCTCCTATAATGAGATCTTTGGGATGTCCATGAGCATACTTCCATTCTTTGGGTAGATCATGTTCCTTCGTTGGATGGGCATATTCTTTTTGAAGATCTTCCATAGAGACTTCAATATTGGGTTCCGAAGAATGAAGTTCATCATTTTTCGATAAGTAAATGCCTTTCATTCTTGGATTGGAATCTGCAACATCATCAATAGCAATATTCTTGGAAGCAAATGAGTTAGATTCATCAAAAGCAACATGTATGGATTCTTCAACGAATAAAGTTTTTTTTATTAGAAGCACAATATGCTTTACTAGAATTTGCATAGCCAAGAAATACAGCTTTATCATATTTGCATCAAACTTTCCACGATTTCTTTATTATTATTAAGTACAAAACATTTACAACCAAATACGCGAAAATGACCAATGTTGGGTTTTTTACCTTTTCACAATTTATATGGTGTTTTCTTAAGTATGAGTCTAATCATGCCACAATTAATAACATAACAAGTAGTATTGACGGCTTCTGCCCAAAAATATCTCGGCAAATCATTTTCACAAAGCATAGTATGAGCCATTTCCTCAAGGACTCTATTTTTTCTTTCTACCATACCATTTTGTTGAGGAATTTGAGGAGCAAAAAAATTATGATCAATGTCATGCTCATTACAAAATAGAATGAACTCATCATTATCAAATTATCTACCATGATCACTTCTAATGCTACAAATAGCATGACTAATCACATTTTGAATACGTTTACAAAGAGCTGAAAACGCAGAATTAGTATCACTTTTGTGTGCCAAGGAGATCACCCAATTAAATCTAGTATAATCATCCACACAAACAAGACAATAAGATTTTCCTCCAAGACTTAAGGTTCTAGATGGTCCAAATAAGTCAATATGCAATAATTGAAGTTTTCTAGATGTGGAAATGATATTTTTGGATTTGAACGAAACTCGTGTTTGTTTTCCTTGTTGACAAGCATCACAAAGTCTATCTTTTTCAAAATCAATTTTGGTAAACCAACAACCAAGTCAAGTTTTGAAATTTTTGAAAGCAAATCCATACGAGCATGTCCTAGCCTCATGTGCCACATCCATCCAGATTCATTTAAAGTAGATAAAACCTTATCATGATTAGAAGATAAACTATGCAAATCAAATATATACATGTTCTCATGCCTATGTCTAACAAAAAGCACTTAGCTATCAACATAATTTTTAATAGTGCAGTAGGATTTTTCAAAAGTAACATGATTGCCTTCATCACACATTTGACTAATACTAAGTAAGTTGTGCTTTAATCCTTCAACGAGCAACACGTTTTCGATAATGGGTGAGGAAGTTTTACCAATACCACTTGCGCCTATGATCTTTCCCTTACTATTGTCTCCGAAGGTTATGTGACCTCCATCTTTGGATTTAAGGGTTGAGAACATTGCTTTATCGCGGTCATATGCCTTGAGAAAGCACTGTCGAGGTACCACCGGTTGTTGCTAGATTTTGACCTAAAGCACACCTGCAAAAATCAAATTTTTGTTAGCCTTTTGGTACCCATTTTTTCTTGGGTCCATGAGAGTTAGAAGTTGAAGTGTTTTTGGGAATCCGTTTCTTTTTCATTCTATCAAATGAGTTTCTCTTAGCAGGACATGAAATAGAGATGTGGCATTTTCTTTCACAATAATGGCATGTGAGATGAGAATGATTAGATGATGTATAAACAAAGGATTTTTTGGAAGTTTTTGCTTTTGAGAAAGGTTTATAGCCAATCCCCATTCTTCCAAAGGTTTGATTTTGACTTTCGAGAATTTTATCTAAGGTATCTCTACCTTGAGTAAATTTTGAAAGAACATTTTTTAAATCTTCTATATTTTCATTTAAGACAATTTTCTCCTTTTTCAAAATTTCATTTTCCTTCTGTAAATCGTCTACTTTCTTTTCAGAAATGGAAAATTCTTTTTCCTTTGAAAATTCTTTCTCTTTTTCCATTGTCAAGACTTCATTTTCTAAAGTATTGATCTTAGAAGTCAAGGATTCCTTTTCTTGAGATAAGCTTAAGATCATTTTCTTTTGACAACTACTTTTCATACTTAATTTTTTAAATTCAGTATGCAATTCATCAAAAGCAGTTTGTAACTCATTGAAGGTAAATGAGTCATTATTTACCTTATCTTCAAGTGCCATCAAGCATAGATTTACGACTTCATTTTTGCAAATGTCCTTCTCCAAGTCGCTGTCATCACTGTTTTCTCCCCATGCTGCGATCATGGCTTTCTTCTTGAATTGTTTTTTGAGTTTTGGACATTCTGATTTGTAGTGTCCTGCCTTGTTACATTCATAGAAAGTCACTTCAGATTTTTTATGACTTTCTCCTTTTTGAAGATCCTTGTTGAAGTCTTTTCTGAAGAACTTCCTTACACCTTGTTTCTTCTTCATAAACCTTTTGAATCTTTTGGTAATGAAAGCCATTTCTTCATATTCCTTTGAAGCATCTTCTTTTTCCTCTTGAGATTTTGCGGTAGACTTGAAAGCTATTCCTTTTTTCTTATTCTTTTCTTCTTCTTTTTTTCCTTCTTACATGATGATCTCATAGGTTAGGAGAGATCCCATTAGCTCATCAAGACTCCATGTTGACAAGTCTCTTGCTTCTATCACTGCAATAACTTTATTCTCCCAACTTTTTGGCAACGATTGGAAGACTTTTTTGACAATTTCTGCATTAGTGTAAGTCTTCCCAAGAGATTTAAGACTGTTTATAATATCGGTAAAGTGAGTGAACATTTGGGATATGTTCTCATCTGGTTTCATCTTGAAGAGCTCATGGTTATGAACAAGTAAGCTCACTATAGATTCTTTAACTTGAGTGGTTCCCTCATGAGTTACAACAAGTTTATCCCAAATTTCTTTCGTTGTGGTACAAGTGCATATTCTGTTAAACTCAGTAACATCAAGTGCACAATACAACATATTAATAGTTTTTGGCATTTAATTGAATATCTTTATAGTCAACACTAGTCCACTCACTCTCAAGTTTGGGTACTAGCAGACCATCTATGGTTTTGGTGGGTACCCTAGGACCATCACATAACATTTTTCAAACTTCATAGTCGGTAGATTGAATATGCATAATCATGTGGGTTTTCCAACAGTTGAAATTTGTGCTATTGAAGAAGGGTGGTCTGTTTGAGGTTTGACCTTCAGGGAGAGAGGAGCTAGGGGTTTCCATAGATCACTCTAAGACGGTTAAGTCACAATACTAGAGACGAGGCTCAGATACCAATTGTTAAACAGGAAAACAACCCAAGAGGGGGGGTGAATTGGGTTATTAAAAATTTTGGCTAAAAAATAAAGTTCAAAAGACTTAAGTGATTAAATGCAACGGATAATCAATAGATTCATAGTAAATAAAAGGAGAGGAAAGAAGAGCTTAACACATGGATTTATAGTGGTTCAGCTCACCGGCCTACGTCCACTCCTCAAGAGTCCTCCTTGAGAATTTCTTCACTTTGTATCAATACACCACTAAGCTTCGCCCAACTTGTGAATTTTTACAAAGGACTTACTTCAATCTGTTGAGGATCTCTTAATTAAATGCTTCACTTTACAAATGTTTCACTCAGAAGCTAAGGAACTAGAAAAAGAGGTTCAACTGTCCTCTTTGACAAAAATTATCTCTCAAAAGATGGATATAAAAGTGTAAGCTCACAAGTAAATTTGGGACTTACTTAGATCTGAAAATGGAAGTACAAAAGTAGAATCTCAGCGATTGATAATGATGCTTTGAATACTTAGTATATTGCAGCGAAGTTCTTGCTGCGAAGTTCTTGCTTTTTTTTTAGATCTAGAAAAGATCCATCTTTATAGCCTTCACTTGATCTCTCTCTTAGAGCAAAAGCACACACACGTGGGTCTTCTAGCTGTTGGAGGTGGGCATAGGAGAATGCTTCTAGTTGTTGGATATGACGCATGGGTGGTACAGGCTGTTATCTATCTGTTGGAGATGGGGCTTCCTCAAAAGATGTGATGCCTATGCTTGAGATTCAAAACTTGGTGGCTGGAGATAATGTTGTCTCCAAGCCTTCTGTTTTTTCTGATTTTGGGGGTGGTGTGAGTGGGGAATGTTTCCTCCACTAAGTCAGAGGTTGTTGTCCCAAAGTTCCTTTTGATTAGAATAACATTTGTCTAATGATGATGTCACAAAAACCCTCTTAGAGTTAGAAGATGGCGGCTAGGGTTTTTGGCAACCCAGAAATAAAGGTGTCGACCCTTGCAGATTGGGTGTCAACCCGTTGCTCTGTCTTTTCTTTTCTGAGTTGATTTTCAGGTGTTCGTGGTGTTGACCCTTGCGGTTGAATTACATACTGAATTTTAGTGTCGACCCTTGCTGTTCTTGTTGTTGACCCTTGCATCTGGAACACTTAGACATTTTTCAGTTTCACTCTGGTGTCGATCCTTTGTTCTGGAACACTTAATGTCTTGAGGTTCACTCTGGTATCGACCCTTGGACCTGTGTTAAGCAAGGATAAAGTTTTGCAACCAACTGCTAATGCTCATGTTTTGAAGACCCAAAAATTATTAAAAAAATAATAATACTTTAGAGTCATATACTATCTAGAATCATGAAGCACAATTTTTATATTATTATTTTGAAAACTTTGAATAACAAAATGAATTCAAAAATATTTTTACAACAGTCAAAATCAATAGAAATTTAAGTTTGAATAACCTTGGGGCTAAGACTCTTTAACATTGTAGCGGAGGGTCTCAACATTTTGCTGAGCAGAGCTAAGGAGTTAGACATCATCAAGGGGCAGAGGACCCTTGGACCTGTGTTAAGCAAGGATAAAGTTTTGCAACCAACTGCTAATGCTCATGTTTTGAAGACCCAAAAATTATTAAAAAAAAATAATACTTTAGAGTCATATACTATCTAGAATCATGAAGCACAATTTTTATATTATTATTTTGAAAACTTTGAATAACAAAATGAATTCAAAAATATTTGTCAATAATCAAAATCAATAGAAATTTAAGTTTGAATAACCTTGGGGCTAAGACTCTTTAACATTGTAGCCAAGGGTCTCAACATTTTGCTGAGCAGAGCTAAGGAGTTAGACATCATCAAGGGGCAGAGGTGGGTTCAAATGGATTAAAAGTAACACATTTGTAATTTGCAAATGACACGATTTTGTTTTGTGAAGCTAAAAGAAGAGAGGTGAGAAATATTAAAAGCATTCTAAGATGTTTTGAGATTTCATTAGGTCTGAAAATTAATTACCATAAGAGCGTTATCTGTGGCATTGGGGTGGATGATGGGTTAGTGCATGAGTTTGCTGCTAGCCTTAATTGCTTTCATCAAAAGCTGTCTACTCAATATTTGGGGCTTCCATTAGGGGCTAATCCAAGTAGGAGAAGTACTTGGAAACCCGTTCATGATAAGTTTAAACAGAAATTGGCTTCTTGGAAGAGAAGGCTTCTATCTTTTGCTGGGCGATTAACTCAAATCAAATCTGTAATGTCCAATTTACCGATCTATTATTTATCACTGTTCAGGATCCCTATTGGGGTGGCTACGGAGATTGAGAGAATGCAATCAGCATTCTTGTGGGGTAGATCAGAACTCAGACGAAAAATTCACATGGTTCGGTGGGAGATGGTAACGAAGAATAAGAAATTAGGTGGATTAGGCTTTGAGGAAGTTGACAATCTTCAATCAATGTCTCCTGTTGAAATGGTAGTGGTGGTGGTTTGGTGTTGAGAATCAAACTCTTTGGAAGGAAGTGATCTGTCATAAGTATGATGCTAGGGATGGAAGATGGTTACCAAATATTGTAGGTAGAGGCTCCAAAATTTGGTCTAATATCATCACTGTTGTCGTGTCCAATCCAGAACTGCATAATTTTTATATCAATAACTCTCATATTGTTATGGGGGATGAGAGGAGAGTTCAATTTTGGAGGGATAAATAGGTTGTTAATGTGTGTTTGATGGATGAATTCCCTAGGCTATTTTCTTTATCTACTGATAAAAATGGTGTGGTAAAGGTGTTCTTTGAGCAACGGTCAGGTGATGGTAGATGGATTATGAATTTCAAAAGATCCTTGTTGGTCTGAGAAGAGGAAGAAGCTTAGAGATTATTCAATTTTTTTTCGTAATGCTCTAGCACTCTGTAACAACAAATCGGATGAGTTAAAATGGAGTGCAGATCCATTTGAGGTATTTAGTGTTGCCTCAGCCTGCAATTGGAGTGAATCATTGTTGGGGCCTATAGAGGCAGTGGCTAACTCAATCTGGAACAATTTTGCTCCTCCTAAAGTACAATTCTTTGGATGGTGAGCTTGTCTTGGCAAGGTTAAAACTTCTAGTTTTCTCTATAGAATTGGAATCTTAGATGGCAGTGCTAATTTTGCTTGTGTTTTCTGTCAAAATGAGGTTGAAACAGTGGATCATATCTTACTTTTTGGCCTTTTGTCTAGTTGTTGTGGTCCAACATTATAAGGTGGCGGGGTTTGCAGTGAGTAATACTAGGTTCGGTGACTAGCCTGTTACAATGGTGGCTTGGTTATAGAATGAAAAAGCTGGAAAAGAAATTTTGGATGGTTCTACCTCTGGCTATCCTTTGGTCTATTTGGAAGCATAGAAACGATTGCATCTTTAATGGCTTTCAACCAAATTTGGAGGATTTGTGTGAAATTGTGAAGGTGAGAGTAGCTATGTGGCTCAAAGTGTCGCCAATTCGGGTGGAGTATTCTATTAATAACTTGGTCTTTAATCTGCCACAAGTTAAACATTGTATCAGAACAAGAGGGTGAGTGACTAGTGTTCAAGACTGGTGGCAGATTACTCTGCAGTGGTGCTGATTGTTTATTTGTGTGCTCTAGTTTCAATATTGCATTAGGAATGGAAGCTGTATTTTCAATATGTTAGTTTGTTTAATTGGCTGAATTTTACTGGACTCTGTCTAGTTGGCTAAGGGCGGGCTGAGCATGGTTGCTGCTAAGATGGTCTCTGGTGCGCTCTGATGTGATGGTATCTGCTATGTTTTTCTTTTGGGTGTTTTACTTCTTAGCTGCTCAGTTATACTCAAGTTGCAAATCCCCATGGTTGATGTTGGTCTGCTATGCTTAGGTTGTGGTTTGTTATGTTGGTATGCAAAGTTCTGCTAGTGGTATGTTGTTGGTCTTTTTGGATCTGTTGTGTTATGTTGGCTGATTTGTAGGTCTGTGTTGGATTCTGGTATGCTCTGCTGTTGGTGTGTTTGTTATGGTCCTCAGCTAGCAGCAGCATTGGTTTGGTGGCTAAGTTTGGCTGCAAAGGCTGAGTCTGTGCTGTTGTTGTTGTGGTGGTTGATCTGTTTTTCTCGTTGGTTTCTCACCAACTCTGAAGGTGCTACCAAATGATTGGATTGGCTTTTTGGTGCCAACCTAGCTATGATGAACTAACTCATTGCGATGCTTTCACACTTTCCT